GGGTTTAGGGTACCCATAGGCCCCATCGTAGTTCCTTTTTGGGGTTACCTTATAACACTTATAAGATTCTATTTTTGAAGCCCCAAAAAGGAACTACTTTAGGGCCTATGGGTACTTCATTATAGTTCGGGGTGTTGAAGCCGCTATGCACAGCGGCCCTTTGCCTGCCTGCTTTTAACTTGTATCCCTGCTCGAATCATAAACCGAATTTCAAAAAACCCTGCTCTATATCGTAAGATGCCGGAAACCGTAAACCCTGCAAGCCCCATGCCCTATATTTTTGCCCCAAATCATATACACTCATGAGCCTTATATATTATAAATCCCCACCTCCAAGCCCCTAAACCCTAAACCCTAAACCCTAAACCCTAAACCCTAAACCCTAAACCCTAAACCCTAAACCCTAAACCCTAAACCCGAAACCCTGGAGCCGATCCCCCAAACGACCTCACATACTTCTCCCAGGGCCCACTCGAAGCCGAGTCGACCGAAGGTGGAGGTGTCTCCACCACAGGCCCATGCCTCGTGGTTTGCGGTTTCGGGGGTTTTGGGCTGTGGGTTTGTGGGTTTTCGGATTTCAGTGTTTCAAAGAACTGAAACTCGCCCATGCTTTGAGGTTTACGAGTTGAGTCGATAGGGTTTCAGGGTTTGGATTTTAGGGTTCATATAGCTTTGGGTTTGGGGTTCAGGGTTGATAGGGTTTTAGGGATTTCACGGATAGTTAATGGGGCTCGTCCACGCGAGGCTCGCCAATGCCAAGAGCTCAAACGGCCGACAGAGGTCTTGGGTTTAGGGTTTAGGGTTTACGGTACAAAGAGCCTTGTAATTAGTGAGGATCCTTTTTCTTGGTAGCCCATCGATCTACAGAGTAGTGCGCAGCCCCTCACAGCCATATGTGTTTTCGGAAAACCCTGAACATCTTCAAACCTCGAGACAAACTTGAACCCCGAATATCCGAAATTCTGCAGCCTACATCCCAAATTCTGCAGGCCATCGGCACGCTAGCAGTGCCGAAGCAGAGTCGCTGGAGGCTCAGAGTTTGTGGCAAGTCCGGAGGCCCAAGACGATCTGAAAGGTCTTGCTCAGAGGGCTTAGGGTACTGCGCCCATCATTCCCTCTGTACTCTCATTGAGGTGCCGCTGTGCAGCGCCCGTCTGCTGGCGTAGTTTGTGGGACAGCCTCAGATTTCCGTGACGAAGCAGTCAGCACGCTCTTATCTTCATGTTACAAGATGGTTTCTAGCAGAATGCACACCCAAGCCCTTCGAGTTCAGGAGTGTAGGTCTGGGATTCAGGCTTCAGGGTCTGGGGCCTTGAGGGTTAGGGTTTCTGTTCTCAGCCGGCTCTGAGTTTTTATGGCAAATTTGGGACTCTTTCAGGGCTTTGGCTCGCATGGATATCGGACACCACGCCGGAACCTGCACTGAACTAGACTGGCAGTGGACCCTTATAGCTACAAGGCTGTAAATTTGCATCCTCCTTCAAGGGTTGCCCACTTCGATCTCCAGGGCCACGACTCGGACTGCCTCAGTTTAACTATTTGTAACTTATTATAGTATATTATAGTATGTTATAGTATGTTATAGTATCTTGTAGTATGTTATGGTATATGGTAGTATGTTATAGTACTTTATAGTATATTATAGTATATTATAATATACTATTGCATCTGAAGTCAAAGCCCCAAGGCCTAAGCGCCCAAGCCCTGGCTCGGTAAGTCCTGGGTCCTCAGAATGCACCCTGCCATCCTGCATCCTTCTGCTGAATTCATGCCGATGTGAAGTAACTCTTCAGAATACCCTAAACCCTAAACCCTAGACCCTAAACCCTAAACCCCAGCTTTAACTCTCAAAGCCCAAAGCCCTGATCCGTAGAGCCACTGAACCCTGAACCAGAACAATCTAGCACACGAAGCTCGAGCCAGGGCCTTGCAAGATGTGCCAAAGCATGACCTTCCGAAGGCGGGAGAACTAAAGAGGGAGGGTAGGGTGGGCTGAGGTTTAGGGTTTTGGAGTTTAGGGCTTTACGGGGAGCTTCAACCCACCGACGTGATGTCTACCCTCGATGTCGGCCTAGCGCGAAGTCCGTGAAGGTTCATCCTCATAAGCCCAGTCCCGAATGCCCGAAAGCTGAAGATGGCTTGTACTATAATTATACGCTTGAAAACATATATGAAGAGGGCTTTTTCAAAATCCTAGAGCAACTGAAGATGAGGGCCAGGACCGGCCAGGACATGACTGCCTCATAAAGAGGCGCAGTGCGTCCCTCCGAATGCGATTATTAATTCCATGGCCGCCTGGTTTAGGGTTTAGGGTTTAGTAGTTCGAGTACCAGAGGAAGGGCTACAGAACGTTTGTTTTTAACTGTCGCAAGCAGCACTGAATCTTGGACACTCTGAATAGAAATGACGACAATCAAACCAAAGCCGTGCACCCCGTGCGGAAACGCCTCGGACGACGCCCAATGCACTGAAACCTCTAAAGCTTAACCCGCAAGTTTAAATCGGCACACATCCAAGCATTTTGCCGCGAGGCTCTTCCACCGCTGGGAAGGGTCTACGATACGCAGCTGGTCCAGTATCAGGCGCGAGGGCTGTCCTGGGTTCACGTGTTTAGGGCTTGGGGGCGTCGGGTTAAAAGTTTGGGGCTCAGGGAACTGAGTTTAAGTTACAGTACTCGAGACATACGAAAAGACATGCTTTGCCAATATTACGCTTCGTCCTTGTGGTAGTTGGGAAGGTGTCTCAGTGGCAGTCCTCAACGAAGCCGATGGTGTCTTTGAACTTTGTTTGCGAACATGCCCCTAACCTAAACCCAATACCCTACTAATTCTTTCTTGCTCTCTCTCTCTCTCTCTGACTCTGTCTCTCTCTCTCTCTCTCTCTCTGTCTCTCTTGAACCCCCAAGATTCGATCCCTCAACTACGCCCGAAGCCAAGACACAACTAAACCCTAAAGCCCCAGACTTTGAACATGTGCCTTTAAACCCTTCAGCCCTCAAACTCTCAACGATGGAGGTCCTCTAGGACCTGGCCTGAAAGCCCCAAACCCTTACCGCCTAAAACCTAAACCCTAAACCCCTAACCCTAAACCCTAAAACCTAAACCCTAAGCCCCTAACCCTAAAACCTAAACCCTGAAACCCTAACCCTAAAACCTAAACCCTGAAACCCCAAACCTTAAAAAACTAAAGCCCTCCAAAACCAGAGTCGCCCCATGCAGGGTCGAGGCCTTGGATTGGCCGGGCAGTCCGCGGTGATGGCCCGAAAGCCCGGAAGTCGTAGGGTTTAGGGTTTAGGGTTTAGGAGGGTTTAATGTGCGGGCGTTAGTAAGTAGAATAGGGTTTGGGGGTGCTACAATTATTATAATTGTAGCACCCCCCCAAACCCCATTCTAATTATTAAGGCCCCCTAGATTACAGGGCTTTTGCTTTTTTAAAAATGGGTTGGGCTCAAAGGATTCGTGGATATTTGGGCTTGGGATTGGGAATTTAGGGGCTTCGGGCTTCGAGATTTTGAGGTCCGGGTCGAAGACTTCAGGCTCAAGTTTGGAGTCTTGCGTTTAGGGCTTGGTGGGCTTGGTGTCTGGATGCTAAGAGGGCTTCATGCCCATAGTTCGTTGAGTTTAGGGTTCAGGGTTTATGGTTCGAGTGTTTTAGGGTTAAGGCTTTAGGTTTCGAGAGTTTAGGATTCATGGTCTTGGAATCGTTCTGCTGTATCCTGGCCGGCGCCGGCAAAGTCTGTAGCCGCCGAAACTCGAGACGTAAGCTCCAAACAGCAGTTCCGCGTGATGATGCTGTATCGGATGTGCCCTCCACCCCCCCCCCCC